ATATGCTAATATTCGTGACCTAAATATGCTGTGAACAATGCTAAAGTACTATAATAAACTACCTTTACAGTCTACGATCTCGGCATATTCATCATCACGCATCAAGTCAAGATCAGGATAAAGAGACTACGCATGTAGTAGGCATTCAAACCATGATCCCATTCATCTGTCTACAACTTGGTAGTTGTCTGTCTGTATACACCCAATGCCTAACCAAAAAAAAAAGGCCCCAAAATAGTAAAACCGCATAACAAATAGATTAGCCCGCAATTGGGAAATCACATTCACACGCCGTATCATGCCCAGCTTGGTTATTATTGCCAAGAACTGCTTTTTTGTCCTCCGCCCGCCATTGTAGCCTGGTTTTCACCCTTCCTGTTGTTCAGGGTTGGTAGAATAGACCTGCTGCTTTTAACGCTGCTTTCCCACCGTCTATAAGGTTTGATTGAAAACGCTCATGACTCATCCAAAAGCCAAAAATGAAAATAAGAAAAAGAAAAAAAGTAGGGAGTAGTGAATTAAAGGCCGTTGGTGCCATTGGTGCCCTTGGTGAAGGAAACGGCGAGCTCCAAGGCCTGGAGCACGTCGTTCTTGAGGTCCTCGGCGTCCTCGACACCGCAGCTCAGGCGGACGAGATCGTCAAAGACGCCGACGGCCTCGCGCTGGTCGCGGGGGATGCCGGCGTGGGTCATGCTGCTGGGGACCTCGCACAAGCTCTCGACGCCGCCCAGGGACTCGGCGAGGGTGAAGATCTTTGTGACCTGGCAGAAGCGCTCGGCGGCGGCGTGGCCGCCGCGGATGCGGAAGGAGAGCATGCCGCCGCCCATGCCTTCGCGGTGCTGCTTGAGGGCGATGTGGCGGTGGGGGTGGGAGTCGAGGCCGGGGTAGTTGACGGCGATGACGTGGGGGGAGGCCTCGAGGGCGTGGGCGACGGTGGTTGCGTTCTTGCTGGCCTCGCGGGCGCGCAGGTGCAGGGTCTTGAGGCCGCGGTGGGCGAGCCACGAGTCAAAGGCCGAGGGCACGGCGCCGATGGCGTTCTGGAGGAAGCTCAGGCGGGTCTTGAGGTTGTCGCTGTTGAAGGCGGCGACGCCCATGACGACGTCGCTGTGGCCGTTGATGTACTTTGTGACGGAGTGGACGACGATGTCGGCGCCCAGCTCCAGCGGGTTCTGGACGTAGGGGGACAGGAAGGTGTTGTCGACGACGACCAGGACGCCGTGCTTGTGGGCGACGGAGGCGACGGCGCGGATGTCGACGAGGCGCAGCGTGGGGTTGCTGGGCGTCTCGATCCAGATCAGGCGGGTCTGGTCGGTGATGTGCTCGGCAATGTCGACCTCGATCTCGGGCGTAAAGGTGACTTTGACGCCGTGGGCCTTGGCCACCTGGGTGAAGTAGCGGTGGGTGCCGCCGTAGACGTCGGACACGGAAATGACATGGCTGCCGGCCGCCAGGCTCTGCAGGATGGTGGCCGTGGTGGCGCTGCCCGAGGAGAAGGCGAGGGCATACCGGGCGTGCTCCAGGGCGGCCACGGCGGTCTCGAAGTTGTCGCGGTTGGGGTTGGACGACCGCGAGTACTCGTAGATGCCGACGGGCTTGCCCACGGCCGACTGGGCGAATGTTGTGGACAGCGATATGGCCTCAATCACGGCGCCCGTCGCGGGGTCGATGGGAGCGCCGGCGTGGACGGCCAGAGTGCCAAAGGCGTGGACGGGAGTCGGGGGCCGCTGGGGCGTGGTGACGGGGTCGGAGGTCACAGGAGGAGACATGGTGTATGTGTGATGGTTTCGAAGTTGCGTGAAGTTTTTGTGTGAAGAGGAATTTAGAATTGGGCGGTGGTGAGAGAGATCCGAGTTGATCTCAATCGCTCCCTAGGTGTAGTTTTGGAGGGGCTGATTTTTTTTATGCAGGGTCTGCTTTCTTTATCTTATCTGCGGCAGCTCGGGGGATCCTGGAAAAAGAAATCGTGAATTTCAAAAGTGCCCGAGTGGAGATGACGTTGGTTGGTTCAAAGCTTTCGATCTTGCGACGCGAGAACAGGCTCAACACGGAATATATTTATCAGATTTCTTCACAATTGAGGAAGAGGTGATCGGAAAGAAAGAGGCGTTTTATGTGGACACGGGCAGATTTCTTTTTATAAAAGAGCCAGCAACCTCGAAAGGAAAAAAAAAAAAAAATTATTACTCCACTTCAGGGACGAGAGCAAGACAACTCTAAAAATGGTGTCATCAGCCGGGCTGGTGGGTAATGCGTCACTGGCTTCGTTTCGGGGGGGCGTTCTGTAGGGATAGGGAATGGCGAGCCAATTCCGAGGGGGGAAGCTCGACGCCCTTTTATGTAAAACGAAAAAACAAAAGGCCTAGATGGCACGCAATCCGTCTTGCCGTCAAATTGCTTCCCGCCCTTGCAAATCACATCATCGTTGCTCGAAAAAGGCGGCCTTTGTAATACGGCCTGGCCCCCCCTAGCCATAGTAACTGTATGTAAGCCACGGTTCAATTGCTAATATGGCGCCGCATTTCGAGATACTTCTGTGTCATGGCGTATGCAACGGCCATCGCTGGCCTCCGTAATCAGGAAAAGCCCGACCGACATCCGCACCTCCATTACAGCAAAGTTGTTCTGGTTCTATTACCAGTCGAGTAGTATTTGTGTCTTTGGGGTAAGTAGCGGCGGTCACTGGTACCGATGGGATGCGACGCAATGCGATGGGGCGCGAGTTACTGATACCTACCTTTTGCGATTCCGATCTGTCATTCAGCTGGAATCTCACCGCCCCCTCCAGAGTCAATTAGATCATCAGTACTCTGGGGGAATCAGTCAACCACCCCTCGTTTTTGCTGTATGTACTGTAGGCGATAGGTGAGTTATTCGATCCGGTTTCCGATAACCTGGATGCACGAGAACCGGCGTCTGGCGCCATTGCGACACGGCGTTTTCAGCACGGCGTTTATCCCCCAACTACACCTCGCTCAAAAGTATAACACGGGCTTTACATCACGGAGTTTTGTACAACTCGAGCCTCTATCGCAGGACGAAGCAAGACTCCTGCGGCGATGAGTGAAGCCGAAGATAAGGCCATTATTTTCACTATTTCCTTGTCTCGCCTGAGTCTGTTTCAAAGCACGAAATCTTGGGGGCAGAGCTAGCAGGATTTGATATCGGCCAGCGCCGGCTCACCGAGTGGAATCTCTTATAAATCATTTTTATTTCACAACCGGCGATTGTTTGACGAAATGATCATGCGGAAAGGGAATTCCCCACGTCGGCAATGCTGGTGTTACATGTACGGGTTTGTCTGTAGGAAACATTCACGTGGACTGCTTTGAAGGCCAACGTGTTGTTAGGTGAGACGTACCTTTGCGTGATTGTGCATGTGCTTGTTACGAGTCAATGTTGACCTACGACACGCACCGCTATCGCGGGATCCTGCTGGCATGTCGGAGTGCGGACCTTGCATTTGCAGGAGAGTGCATATACATGCTGCCTGTCCCATCTCACAAACAGGCAAACAAACAGAGGGCGAGAATCCGGTCGATAAGCACAGTCATCTGTTGATGTGATACGAATCCCATATCTCTGATACGACTGTGTGAGCTGGCATCCTACAAAGGTACTTCAACATGCGAGTCCTACCTCTCGCGGACCGGGTATCGGTTTGAACTCTGCAGGTTACTCTGCTCGCTTGGCGGTACATGTATCAGTGCATACGCTCCGCATATGCCTCCATAGCCTAATGCCCGGGTTGGTAGGTCCTACGACAGAGGTAGGTTCTAGGGCCAAGTAGCCGAAAGGAGAAGTTCATGGAGTTGGCAATACTACTCGTACTATTTTTTTTTTTTTTTTTCAAACCTAGACTGTACTATCGATTGAACTCGGCTGCTAATCGAGGCACCAGGGGCCATTACTAAGGGATAGCGCAACTAAAATAGAGCTCGACAGCATCTCATTCATCAGGGTTAGCACTGCATATCTTGTTGGTCAGTCGACCCTTGAAAGAGGTTGCAGTGCGTCGATCCCGGCAGCTAGCCGCTTACCATCCGCCATTATCTTCGAGAGCATTCCGCACCCACGGCGAGAGATAAGAGATAACAAATACATTGCCATGATTTGGCAGCCTTCCATCAACTGACAGTCTGACACCCATCGGGAGGAATGCTGTAGCTTGTTCCTGTCCGCTCCGGCCTATCCACACACAACACGCCGTACGTACTCCGTACTTACTCCGGTACCTGTTATTTTACTCCTTATATGGGGTTCTCCTAGGGCTTGCCAGACGCTTGCTCGTCGTTATTTTGGAGCCGTGAGACTGCAAAAAAACTCCAATGGCAATCTCGCTAATCGTGGCTGCCGCTCATTAAGCTTGTATTGCTTTGCTTTTTTCGGGAATAGCAGTCAATCCCATCTCGTAGCCCTCGCCATGTACTTTGTAATCTCACCAGATACGTCATCCTTGATCCTCTCTCACTCACGCGGCTGCAGCGCAGGACGGGCGGTAGTTCGACCACACAAAAAAGACGGCCCGGATGCCGCGGGTTATTAGCACCTGCTTCGGAGAAACGAGCGCCCGAGCCATTGCACAGGAGAATCCCGTGTGGCAGTGCTTATTAACCAAAAGAGGCTCATGTTCTTTTGCTGCGCCCTCGTACTCGTAAAAACATCGCCATGCAGGCACTCGCCCCTCCAGACATCGATATCCGGGTGCTTGAAGCAACTATCCGTCATCGGTTTTAGCATCACGTACTACCCTTCATTTTTAGCTCCGGCCTCCCTGGCGCTTCCAGCTCCCAGCCCTTCAACTTCGCCGGATGCTGCACCATGCGCATGTAACGACCCGGAAAACCACGTTGGATTTCGCGATCTATCCCCTACACACCATCCAGCGACCACAAGCCAATCTCTTCACAGGCCCGCGTGGCGATGCCACCTGTGCGTGGCGCATCTAGAACCCTTGCTGCACGTATTCAGCGACGTCAATACTGAATTCCTCAACTCTCCTTATGCCTCCCAGACGGTCACACAAAAAGTCGCGCGCGGGGTGTCGGCGATGCAAAAATCGAAAGATCAAGGTAAGATGGAAGAAAAAAATCATTAGGGAAAAAAAAAGTCCCCGACAATTCCCACCGCTTTCCCTCTCCGACTTCCCGAATGAGAACCTCTTCAGCGGCCTTGCGAATACACCAAACTAATGTCGCCGGCTTTTTCCTTTTGAATAGTGCGACGAAGTTCATCCACGCTGCGGAAATTGCTCCAAGCATGGCGTTATGTGCGATTTCGAGAGCCGCCAAGTGCTCGATGAACTGCATACGCTTCCCACCCCAGCCACTAAGAGTCCCCAGGCACCTGTGTCCGCGCCGTCTTCAGTGAGTCCGAGACCCATGACAGCGACGGCGACGACAACGACAACTGCGACTACGATTGCGCCTACGGCAGCGCCAGCGCCATCAACGACAACCATGCCTACCTACGATAATCGTCGAATATCTCCTTCGCGGCTTTCTCCCCCTAGTACGGTCTCAACGCCATCGCTCACGCTACCATCCGTCCCCATCACCACATCTATGACTAGGCAAGGGGACAGGCTCCTGGAATTTCAACTATGGCACCAATACATCACCAGCACCTCCAAGACTCTCGTCATGAATTCTCCAGCTAGTACGGACATTTGGCAGAAGGATGTGCCACGCTTCGCCCTCGAGGGACGGACCTACTTGATTGATGCAGTTCTCTCAGTGGCAGCTCTGCATTTGCGCTTCAAGAACCCCGATGACAAAGTCATGATTGAAGCCTCCCATGCATATTCTGCATCTACCTTGGCAGAGTATTGCCGCTCATTAAATAAGGGCATTACGGCGGAAAACGCAGACGCCCTGTTCCTCACCTCATGTCTCATTGCATTCCAGGCTACTGCGTCTCGGCTATTTGTTAAGGAGGATAGCGACCCGTCGGATCCAAGTGAACCTCATCGTCGATATGCATTACCCCTGTCTTGGTTCCATGCTTTCCAGGGCGTCAAGACGATTGTGGCTACGTCGTGGCAGTGGATCCGTAACAGTGCCACTGTTAAGGTGGTCATTGACTCTCAGCCGGGCTTCATGCTTGACCTGAATCCGCTAGGCCCAGACTCCTTCTTTGGCCATCTTCTCGATGACTTGGATGAAGAGCTGGAACAAGAAGACGAAGCCAACAGAGCGGCAACTAACCAAGGCTACTTCCACGCCGTCTGTGTTCTCAACTGGGCCCACAAGAACCACTACGCTCCTTCAGCATTGGCCCTTCCATCAACCGTTTCACGGCGTTACGTTGAACTTGTCGAGGCTAAGAGACCTCGTGCTCTAGCTATTCTCGCCTGTTTTTTCGCGTTACTCAAACGTATGGATAACGTGTGGTGGTTAGATGATGTTGCTCGTCGAGAGGTTATGGGTCTTGTGAGCTTGTTTGAGACGGGTTCGAAATGGTGGAGGCACCTTGAATGGCCCATCCGCATTGCGCTGTGGGATGGAGAGGCTGACGCCATCCCGGCTGAGATATGGGGCGTGGAGCGAAAGGAGAACCCTCCCGCCGACACAAACGTCCCATCCGCGGAGACGATACTGAACCACATCGATCTTATGGCCAAGATGATGGATAGGGCCCAAGGACCACAGTCAATAGAGTCGATACCTGTGGTGGGTGATTTAGGTGGCTTGGTTCCTCCGCCTCTCGACTAGTCGTTTTTGAGTCCTGCGTCTCAGCCAGAGTAGCCGTTTCAGGAACATACGGTTGTCGTCTTATTGTGGCTGTTTCTTCTTTGGTATCCCCCTTGTGTTTTTTTTCAACATGTTTTGAGAACCCTGGTTCTTCAACAGTGGCGGCGTTGGTGTTAAAGGTAAACACGAAAAAGATGTACCACCATGGATTTTTTTTTTTTTTTTTCGTTTTGATTCTTTTCTTCTTCCTTTTCAAGAGGACTTCTTTTTCTCTTCGCTTTTGCCATCGTTATCTTTACTCCTTTTTATATCCCCCCCTTTATTTTCACTGAAGCGTGCATTAAGGTCGCTCCTCACATATATCTTTTATTGGCGAAGCGTTATTTGGCGTTGGGAAAGGGGTGAATGGACAAAGACGGTCTGATAATGGGGTTCGTGGTTAAGGCTTCTTGGAGCTAATTGTTTCATGTTGATACGGGAGCGACACGACACATAATACTCTCAGGACTCGTAGTGAGTTCTTGACGAACGTTGCCATGTTTTATTAGCCTTTGGGATTACAACACCGCTTGTGAACGTGTGGGGATGTGAATGTGAACGTGACAATGAGTGAATGCGAATCAGTTAAGAAATGCCAATGCTTGTGAATCCAGACCCATCATTCCATCTAACTGTGATGCTTTGATAACAAATCTCAGGACACTATATAGCAGTAATTGACAGAGCCGACTATGAAGCCACCCAAGGCGCCAAACTCCAATTCCAAGGATTTAACCACACCAAACATCTTCTACCCTCTCTTTTCTTTTCTTATGACATTAGACTGATGCGTTGACCAGCTTATTTCTTCGCCTTCTTAGGTACTTCCTCCGCGATAATATCCTCAGGCTCGATTCCATCATCACGAGACCTCTTCAAACCCTTCATCTTCCTTGTCTGCAACTGGCCCAAGTCTTGCTTGCCCAAGTGTACACGACCAAGCTTGTCACCCATCGAATCCATGGTAACGTTCTTCTTTGTCCGCTCCTCGACGCCGCGAGGCTTCTTCATGGCCTCCTTGAGCATGGCCTCGTCTGCCTCCTGCATTCGTCCGACCCGGAGGTCCATCCGGGGGCCAATTTCCTCCACCTCGACGCGGGGCAGCTTCTGGCCGCTGCGCTTGGTGCTGATGACATAGACGCGGATGTGGATGGGGGGCTTGGCGTCGCCCTCGCCGGCGGTGTCCTCTGCGGCGACGGAGACGATGTACTGCAGCCCTTCGACGTCGATCTTGTCCGAGGGCTCGCCCTTGAAGAAGTCGATGAAGAAGCTCTTTGCGAGGGTGTACTCATTGGGGACGGGGCTCTCAAAGGCGCTTCCCGCGAAGAGGATCATGGGCCGCATGCCAATGGCGAACTTTTTCGTCTTGAACTGCGAGATGGAGCGGTAGCTCTCGTTGTCGAGGTACAGCTCCAGCATGTCGAGCACCTTGTGGCTGAAGGTGCGGATGAAAGTCAGCGAGTGCGGGCGCTTCTTCTGCGTGCTGCCAAAGACGAAGAGGCTGGCGTCGTTCTTCTCGGAGAAGAACTCGATGGAGGCGGCGTCCTCGAAGGGGTGGATGGGGTTCTTCTTGGTGAACTTCTTGGATAGGGGCTGGCGCATGGAGAAGAGGTCGTTCATGGCGTCCTGGACGACCTGGGAGCAGTTGTTGCCGCGGAGGAAGAGGCATGTCTTGGGGTTCTCGACGGCCTTGGGCTCGCGCTTCTCGAGGGCTCGCTTGGAGCGGGCGTTACGGGGTTTTCTAGGAGGAGAAGAGTGTTAGATTTGGTTGTTTGATCGTCTGTTGGGGGATATGTTATATGTTGAAGAACTTACACTTGACGAAGCATTGTGAAATTGAGCAATGGTTTTGCATGCGAATTACACTCCAAGCGGCCGAGATGCCTTTTCTGACGAGCGAAGAAAAAAAAAGTTCAGGTAGCTTATCGATAGAGCAGCAGCAGCAGCAAGCAGTAAGAGCACCGCCACACTTTCTTAGCCCAAGCACATGAAAAACCCCATTTCGATCAAGACAGCACCGCCACACCTGTCCCGTCCCGTTTGTCGATACTCCACAGTCACGTGCAGCCCCTGAACTCCTCCGCCCCCCTCCAATCCCATTGCTCCAACAACAGATTGACGCTTACCAACCCGGACGGACCGGCGATAGCCTCGGTAGGCGCCTGGCATTTCCCCACACAACAAACCCAGCCCAGCGTTTCCTCCTGCAGGTGACGTGCCTGGAAGCGCCTGTTTAATTCTTTTCCCTTATTCTGGAGCCGCTGTAACTGCTCGTCCTTGCTTCTTCCCGGCAAGTGCGTCTTCTTCTCGTGTCCACTAGCCAACGTTTGGCGCATCACAGCCGCGGCAGAGCCCAACTGATTATCACATCCTTGGTCACATCCTTGGGTTGTTGTCGATTCGCCTTCCATCCCCTCTAATTTCATCCACCTTCAACCTCCCAACCTCCCGCCTCCTTTCTCCTTGTTTACAACAACAACAAACGACCATCGATCGACAGCTCGCGTGCGCATACAACACATATCATCGCCAACATGTCGTTCATGGGAGGCGCAGAGTGCTCGACGGCTGGCAACCCCCTGAGCCAGTTTCAGAAGCACGTTCAGGATGACAAGACACTACAACGCGATCGTCTCGTCGGCCGGGGACCAGGTGGCCAGCTGGGAGGCTTTCGCAGCTCGCCTGCCAATGCGCCCCAAGATGAGGTACGTGACTTGATTCGTGACCACTTGTTTTGTTTGTTTACGTTGACCTGGGATGCGCATTACTAATACGTGATATGTCCATGGTGCTGCAGATGATGAACGGTTTCCTCAATGGTGGCCCAGGTCTTCAACAAGAGTTCCCAACTTTGCCAGGCGGGCCCGCTGCCCATCTGAGCGCTGCCCCTATGGGCCCTTCGCCTGCGGCATGGGCACAAGACTTCAACGCCCAGCCCGGCATGGACGTCGTGCTCCAGGCATCGCCCAGTGCTCTCTTCAGCCCCGAGGAGTTTGCGCGCTTCCAGCAAGCCAACCCTGCCGCCGCCGCAGCCATGGCACCTCAAATGCGAGGTGACATGTCTGCTGCGATGCCCCAGCGATCAATGATGGGCATGGGCATGGGCATGAACATGAACATGATGGGTATGGGTATGAGTATGGGATATGCTCAGCCCATGATGCAGCCGATGTACCAGCAGCAGCAACAGCAACCCATTCAGCAACAACAACAGGACCTAAAGGGCAAGGGCAAGATGGTCGAACTGGACGACAACAAGTGGGAGGAGCACTTTGCTCAGCTCGAGCTCCAGGACAAGGAAGAGGCCAAGGAGGCTGAGGCGAATGCCGCCGAGAAGGAACTAGAAGACATGGACAATAAGCTCCAATCGGAGACTAATGAGTTTGGTGACTTCGAATCCATTTGGAAAGGAATCCAGGCTGAGACTGCTGCTGCTAGGTCGATGGTGAACGAACAACAATACTTTGATCAATTCGATACCGAATGGGGCCAGGACCTCATGCCCGATCTCAACGGCATCAACGACTGGGGACGATTTGCTGACCCCATTGTCGAGAATTACATGTTTGAGGAAGAGAACATCTTCCGTGAGCAGAAGAATGCATTCGCCGAGGGTGTTCGAGTTATGAAGGAGGGTGGCAACTTGTCATTGGCCGCCTTGGCGTTTGAGGCTGCTGTTCAGCAAAACCCAGAGCATGTTGAGGCTTGGGTATACCTGGGCTCGGCTCAGGCTCAGAACGAAAAGGAGACGGCAGCTATTCGCGCACTGGAGCAAGCCTTGAAGCTGGACCCCAACAACCTCGATGCCATGATGGGCCTGGCTGTTTCGTACACCAACGAAGGCTACGACAGCACAGCATACCGAACCCTCGAGAGGTGGCTCTCTGTCAAGTATCCCACCATTCTGGATCCCGCAAACCTGCACCCCGTCGCAGACATGGGATTCACCGACCGACAGCAGCTGCATGACAAGGTCACCAGTCTCTTTATCAAGGCTGCCCAGCTTAGCCCCGATGGCGAGCACATGGACCCCGATGTCCAGGTTGGACTGGGTGTGCTGTTCTACGGAGCAGAGGAATACGACAAGGCCGTGGACTGCTTCCAGTCTGCTCTTCACTCTTCAGAGCTGGGCACGACAAACCAGCAGGAGCAGCTTCCCCTGCTCTGGAACAGACTCGGAGCTACTCTCGCCAACAGCGGCAGATCAGAGGAGGCTATTGCTGCGTACGAGCAAGCTCTGTCCTTGGCCCCCAACTTTGTTCGCGCCCGTTACAACCTGGGTGTGAGCTGTATCAACATCAACTGCCACCAAGAGGCAGCATCTCACTTCCTTGCCGCTCTTGACATGCACAAGACGATTGAGAAGTCTGGCCGCAGCAAGGCGTACGAAATTCTGGGCGATGGTGCTTCCGGTCAGGTCGACCAGGCTCTCGACAGAATGTCTGCCCAGAACCGAAGCAGCACCTTGTACGATACCCTGAGGAGGGTGTTTACGCAGATGGGCAGGAAAGACCTCGCAGACAAGACGGTCCCCGGCGTGGACCCGGACATTTTCAGACCAGAGTTTGAGTTTTAGAAGGCTTGAGCAGTCCTTTTGGCATTTGGTTGAAACATGAAAGACATTATTTAGCGCAGTGATGATGGGATGAGACGAAATGGTCTCTTTTCGCCCAGTTAAACTTATATTGGTCCAACTTGATAAAATTGTATTTATGATGAGCATATACTTGGAACGAAGGAAAACAAGGGGGGAAGCCTAATGAACAAAGAGCAAATAAATCGTTGTTTCCCTGGGAGTATAATTAGTTTAGGATGTAGCGGGCATGGGATATAGGACTTTTACACAGAATATATGTTGGATATGGAGATGTTGACTATGATCTTAGTGCAGATGAATACATCTATATATCTCTGTATACATGGTATATTGAAGAGAACTCTCTTTACTTGTGCTTATGGTATCGGGACTGAGATGTTCGATCATATGCAAGGAGTAGATACAAAGAACTACCAAATGTGATTCTCATTTGCGCCAGATGATCAACTCGGGGCAGATTCACATGCATTTTCGCATCATCCTTGTCCATGTCTCACTCAATTCACAAACACACGGCTGCTTTCTAAGATGTCTCTTTTTTATTCACGGGATTCTTTATACATTCACGTTGCATCCATGTGTCTGAATCACTAATACAATAGATTCTGGGCTTCACAAGAGAAAAGAACAAAATCTTGCATATTGGATTCATACTCTATCACTTGGAAGGAGGTTTGTTGGGATCTCTCCTGATGATCGACAGACGCCTTTTTTCTCCTCCTCTTCTCTATTATTGAAGAATTCCGCTGCTGCTTCCACTACAACTTTTACTATAGTATTATACTGCACTTCCCCTCTTATCTCATGCTTTTACGAAAGAGCAAACATGTGACTGGGTAATATAAAGGTTGACGCCCGTGTCACGCCAATGGCCCCGGAAAGATCTAGTAATACCTCACCTCATCAGAGTAACGAAGAAGACCCGATTCAATCTCACTTTCAAATAGTTCACGCTCGTTCACGCTCGTTCACGCTCCGCAGAAACAAGTATCTTGCACATTATTCAATAAGAGTCCACTCTGTACAACCCCATCAGACAGCCTCACCGCTATAAAATCAAGAAATAGAGAGACAGAAAAAAACAAGGCTCTAAAATGCTTGCTTCTCTGTCTCAGTTGCAACATCATGTACACACGCCCCCTTTCCCCCTCACTTGTCGTACTTGCTCAATTCTCCCGCAGGATCGGGCCAAGCTGCCAGAAAAGCTAGCATTCCCAATTCTTGGGCCTTGGGTAACCCAGTCCCAGTCCCCCCATCCAGCAAGCAAAAATTGCACGCCCCCCTCGCCTCGCCTCCTATCTTTATCGGTACATCCTCCTCCTCCGCCGTGTCTCTGGTGCCGCCGCGGTGGCTCCTTGCTTCAAGACACATCCCCCCTCACCCTCCGATCTCCTGTCCCCAAAGTGGCAGAGGAGACATTTTCGCAAAGTTTTCCGCGGAGAATTCCAGTCCTGGGAGGGGTATGTAGATCAAAAACGTAATTATTAGTTATTGGCTTCGCGAAAGACCTAGAATGTCCTTATAATGCGGGCAAAATAAGAACTCGCTTTAAGGTTTAGCCACCAGAGGGCCGAGAACCGAGTAACAACAAGGCGCAACGACAGCCGTAGAAGAGAGGGCGAAACCGGCCAACAACCAAACATGAATTTGTCCACTAGTCCACAGTTTGCCGAATGGGGGTGTCCCAAGCAGCCTCTTTCCCTGCTTCTGAGACCTTGGCGACTGGACTGGGTCGTCATAATTTTGACTCGGCACAGTCTCAGATCGTTCGCCGCAAATCAGACCGCCGTTAATTGGTCACGGGGAGGCGTGACGCGAAGAGACGGGTGACATTCCCCCTCTCGGGACGAAGGACATGTGGCAGCGCGGGAGAGTATGCTCATCAAACATCTCTTAAAATGACAAATATCATTTGCCGTGCACGGGCTGCCGTCTTTTGACACGGGATGAGATGTATGGGTATTGCATTGGAGCCTCACAGCTCACACAGCTCGCTCACAATCTCTGTACAACGGTTCACCCAAACCAAGCCAAATCAAATAGTTACTTGGCCAAGGCCGGTCCGTGTTTCACAGGCGCGCGGTGAGGCGGCGCCACCTCGAGAAGCAAAAGGGAGCGCGTGGGAGGTTTGTGAAGCACAGCATGCCAGCTATATCCTGGGCCTCGGGCCGGGGAGCTCCTGTGATATCACCACTCTATCAGCATTGTACCCCTGTGCTGCACGATTTCCAATCTCAACCTCGTGTCTGACGGCGCCTCTGTGCCGTGATCCTGGGCCGTCAAGATGGCCGGACAGGAAGGATACACGTCAATGATATTGGCCCGCGTGTGATGAGCGGCTGAAATTGTGGCCCTTGTCTCGGTCCAAGGCAGCTGAGGGGGGAAATGACTCTGGGCGTGCTACTAGATGCCGCCCCAGCCCTCTGGAGAAGCAAATATTGTCCCCAACCAACAACATCTCAGCTGTTGGCGCATCTAGGTGGCATGCAGCTGCCAGATTAGTTCCTATCGTTGCCGGAGCCGGTCGATCCATCTGGCAGTAATCCTGGACACGAATCCACCTCAACTGAGCTAATTTGTAGATCTAGACTCGGTACAATAAGCTTGTTCCCATCAAGGCCCTGCTATATGGGAGCTCAGACAAGCGTGTAACGACGGCAGAAGTATGAGAGCACTCAGTGACGAAGAAAGGCGCGAGTAGTTGTTTGGTCGTCTTCAGATGCCAGTGTAAGTCACTTCTATCGGCCCGCCTCTGAAGCATATTGCCAGCTAATATATCAGCCAGACTGCTCATGAGTACCTTGATAGATTATCCACAAGCCTGGAAATAAACTGCCCTTGCTGCACTACCATCATATGCCTTTGAGATGGGTTTGTCACATGTAAGACTTTCTACTGTCCGAGAACTGCAGTTTGGGCAGCCGAATGTATACGGGTTCAGCGGTGGCTTTTGACATCCGATCCCGCACTTCTTTGAGACAAGCAGCCAATGTTGATCTCTGCTGTACAAATACCAAAGAAAGCTGTACGCATAGACCTCTCTTCGGATGTCGCGAGTTGTTTAGTTTGTAGGTGGCGTGCCGCACAGAGTCACGGTGACCAATGAAAAAAGCCACCACAAGGGAGCCAGGACGATGCACTGCGGTGCCTGACATCACGGCTTGATCTGATACTGTTATTGCGGATCAGGTACCGGGGATCCTGTCCAAGCCCTTTGTATCGTAACCCTTACATACACGGCCGCATATTATACTGCGAGTATCTGTATGCTTGTTCAATGTCATTGGGATTCCGATTCATGGCTACTACACGCGATTGGAGGACCAGCGTTACATTGAAGGAAACGTATAGGTGCGGCTCCGTGCTTTATTGCGGGTATCAAGGCGCGGCTCCGTTCAAGTAGCAGATGGCGATAAGCTGCAGGCCGTTGTTACTGCCCCATCCGGCTTGCTTTTGGCCATGGCACGATTATGATGATGGACAGACCACATCTCTTACTTACATCTAGCTCCCCCGTACTTGGGCCTAAGTAGAGCCGATGCTGCCGGCGCATTGGCCTAGATTCGATCTGTGACGAGGCTTTTGATTGTTGGCCTTGATGGGAGAGAGAAAACTTTAACGAAGAGGAACGTAACACGCATTGAAGCAAGTACTCTATACTTGACGGTCTCTTGTATCTTGAACGGGTAGAGGACACTCCGTATCAGTTGGTCGAGTTGCACCCTCTTTGTTAGGAAATTAAAAAGCAATAAAGCGGGTTTGCCATGAGCACAGGCAAAAAGATGGGACGAACAACATGGCAACGGCTTGATCTGCTGGAGCCACTTTAGCAGGTGGGCTTCCGTGCTCGGGACATGGCCGAGGGTAGTCACTGATGGAGGACACCAGTAATCCGTTCAGTTCAGTTGTGGGCGTTTCAAGCGTAGCAACGCATGGATTGCCAGGCCACCCCTTTGCTGGCAGACGCTAGGCCGTTGGACAGATCACTTCCGGAGTTGCTTTTGCGGTCTAGAATGCTGTGCTTCCGCGTGCCGGCCATCGATCTTGTAGTTTCCCAATTGGGACAACATTTTCCTGCAATATAGGTCCATTCGCGGGCAAAGCGCCCAATACGGCCCCATCTTTGTCGTTTATTTGTATATCAGACGCGGGGCTATTGTCGCGAGTACTCCGTACGGTACTCCGCATGCAAGCATCGGTGGTAGCAGTACGAGTGCTTTGCCGGAGGTAACGACGCGCTTCTGGACGGCGGCATTTTATGCTCCGTCGGCTGGCCTCGCAACAGGCGGTATACGAAAGCGAGACTCTCGAGAGATTTGCATTGTTGGGTCGCAACAAGAAACTCGACTATTACAAAGGATTGAAGTCAATTTGCACAAGCCTTATTATTTCGTTATTTCTTGTGAGAAATTGGTGTTAATATGAAGTCTGTTTGTTGGGGGCCCTTTGCATGCCTCGTCTTCTCGTGATAGATGATTGACGTCCTAAGAAGCCCTTGGTAGAGTTAAAAATGCTGTGAAGATCGTACATGGTAAATGCGGAGCTGAACCGCTTGTATTTTAAACGGTGGCGAGGCAGATACTGAAGAGGATGCTGTTAGTAGTATGTGCTTCAACTGGCCTCAGCTTGCTTCGTGATCCAGACTTGCGCGAGATTGAGAAATCAAAGGACGAGGGTAGCATCTCCGGGGGTTCCTATCTCAAGCAAACTGCTCACCGATTTTTCCCAACATGACAAGTAGCTCTGCTAATCCATGGAGGAGACGTAGGTATGAAGTGTGTCCTGCGCCTTCTTGACGAGTTAGCCGTCAAGTGCCGACCCGATGGTTGAAATCCTTAGTGCTGGACAATATGGAGCTTAAGCGCTCGTACATGCAGTAGGCGACAGCCCTGGTCAAATTCGCTTATCACGAACAGAGGCGCTTGTTAGCCTGCGCATATCACTTCTGAACGTATTCATTGTCTCGGCGGAGAGAGCGGGCTGCGGATGATCACCACGTGGGCGATTCCCAATGGCTTCCGCACTTGAATTGAATTGGTAGGTATCGTCCTGCTATATCCGCTGTAGGCGTCCTTGAACTTGTACGAGGCATCGGAAGGTCAAAGAAGCGCCCGCTCTCTTGATGTCGCTCAGATTCCCTCTCCGTGTGCAATTATGCTTTTCGACGCTTTGTGCAAGTGTGGAGCATATGAAATGTGCCGACGTTCAATCGTCCTGGTTCTCGATTTGTATATATAACTCTGGAGCGACTGATGCGAAATTCTTGGATCATCCCAGGAGGTTTAAGCTTGCTGGCACCAATATTTCAGCTTGGCAAACCGTCTCTCTGGGCGTTTACACCTGGGCT